GTACTCCAAAACTTTTTAAAACCAAAACAAAACATAGCATAAAACTAAATTAATAAAAATTAAATTAATTTGATAGCTAATTTGTTTGTATTTAGATACATATACATATCAAGTCATTTATATATTTTAAATATTATATCAATTTGAGAGTTAATTTGTGTTTTTAAACTTAAAGAACTAGCATTGTAATTCAAAAAAAAATGTAAGGAAACAAATCAATAGAAATTAAAAGGACTAAATTGATAATTGAGTTAAATTTAATGAACTAATAATTTCACTATCCCTCAATTATATTATAATAATTACCTCTTGAACTTTAAGTTTAATAACATTATAAACCCTGAACTTATTTATTATGTAAATTGTTCTCTTAATTTTTAAAAATAGTGTAATTAGACCCTTATTATTAATAAAAGTTAACTTTGATAATGACTAGAAAATGACATAAAAGAACATAAAAAATTATAGACAATGACTCAAAAATTAAGAAAGAGACCAAAACAATTTCAATCCTTTTTTGGTAATTTTTGATGTTCTTTTCTATCATTTTTTAACCAACAAATGATCAAAGTTAAATTTTATTAATGATAAAGGTCAAGTTGTACCGTTTACAAAGGTTGAGAATAACATACAAAATAAATAAGTTCAAAATCTATAATACTGCTGGACTTAAAGTTTAAGAGGTAATTTGCTCTTTTATTCTACATTTAATTGAAATATGTTGTTGGAACAAATCCATTTACTAATAAAAATTAAAATGATAAGAAAATAAATGCAATAAATATTTTGAAAAATAGGTGAAAACCTTTCCTAATGTTGGAATATATGGGTAATAATATGCTTAAAGCTAAATTATACGTTACTTTTTTAAACTTTGAACTATGTATATACAGCACTCTTAATCTTTAAAACTTTACAATGAATCTCTCTCAACTCTTATATTTATGTAGATAGCTTTATATAATTAATTTTATATATTAATTATCTACATATAACTTAAAATTTATGAAGGTTATTCGTATATCAATCAAATTTTGGGAGCTTAAATGCACATAAAAATAAAGTTTAAGGGATATATAATTAATGGCTAGAGGTTATTTGTATAAACTTAGAAGTTTAAAGAGGTTTACTCTTAAGTTTTAAAAATTAAACAGGTTATTTTTGTATTGTTCAAAATTTAAAGAAGTTATGTGTAATTTATCCAATTCTTAAATTTATAAATATTATCTACAGCTACTTGTGTCATTTGCATCCACCAACTATTTTTTCTTGATGGCAAGAGAAAATCTCTTGAAGGGATTAATCATTGAAAGATTTTAATATCTATAATTAAGATTTTCAAACTTGTGAATTCAAATGAAATTATAGTAAAGATGTAAACTCATATTGTAAAATTATATCATAAACTTATAAGAGTTTACTTCTATTAACAAATAATTATTAAAATATATATTTATGACTAAAATATAACGTGTAACAACTAATTTATTTAACTATAATTCAAATCATATTAATTTAAAACAAATGCGTTGATAATTCATAATAGCTATGTGAAATTAATGAAATTGATGTTTATTATGTGAAATTAATTATAAGAGAAGTGATAATTTTAGCTTTAAATTTACTGATGAGTGAGACATAAATAAAAATTATGAAAAACATTATTTCAGCCATGCTAGCACATTGGGAAAAAAAGAAACTAGTAAAGAGTTAAAGATATATTGCACCACCAAAGAATATCCGGTTCAGGAAAAATGAATACACATTATAAAATAACCTATAGATCATGATGAGTGCTCTGCAATTCCTATATTCAGTCAATAAAAAATTTACAAGTAAAAAAATAAAAACCTAAATAATTTTCAAAAGATGAAAAATTAAAAGGAAAAAAAATACCACAAGGTCAGTGGGTAGTTGTAATTGATCATATAACCTAGCACAAGTGGCATCAATTATCGAATGTAACCTTATCTATCTACATTTATTGGGAATATTTAACTACGGAGATTCTCAAATTATGATTGTCTGTGATTCATTTTAGGTTTATGCCCCCTTTCATTAGCAAACCATCTCATGTCAAACTAAATTCAAAGTCCAAACACTTTCTAATAACAATCGAACTTTCGATACCACTTGCCTTATTGGAATATTCTTTTTTATTTTTAATTCTTTTTTTTTTGTAAATTGTAAGAAAATATGTGCAGTAGACATTGGGTCACGTTTGGATATTTGTAGAAAAATTGATTGATACAATTAATTTTAAATATAATTGATTATATTACGTGGTATAATAGATTTATAAAATTGATTAATAATTTGTTATTTTAACATAAATTAAATTTTAAATAATGTGTTGTAGTTAAGAATCTATTACCCTTACATATTTTTAACCAGAGAAAAATACTAAAATACCATTTTAACCACCCACTTTGATTGGCTAAGAGGTGACATCATTGTTAGCAACAATATTGGTAAGTAACTAAAAATATTATACTCTAAGAAGGGGGAAGTGATGACATATATTTTGCTTACACAGAGAAATTTGGAAGACGGCACTTTTTTTCTTGGTATCAAAGCATGGTTTCTTGGTATTAGAGGCAAATCTAAACCTCAAAATGATGACCAATTTCATATCCTTTGTTGTTTGCAGTACAATTCCATATGAACTTGTTAACCATGCATGTTGAAATTATAAAGAACAATTTGTAACAAAAACCGAATGCCAGGATATGTAAGCTAATATTATTCATGACAATAGACTATTGTGTTTCAATCATCCACAAATCATCTTCAAATACCATGAATCTGTATAACATTTCTTGTATTGATTCATGACAAGTCTATATCATAACACCTTTCAATATTTTAAGATATTAATTGTGCATTCGCAAAAATTTCAAGGCATGTTTATTCTTTAATCATAAATTTTAATGAAACCAACAACACGCGACAATAAAAAGAAAAAAAAAATCCCCTGATCCCTGATTATAATCCCATGAGAAAATTTTGTTGAAGCAATATTTCACTTAGTTATAGCAAAATTTAAGTACAGTTTTTTATACTTCACATGGTAACATGATTGCAAATTAGATTCTAAGGTTCACATTGCTGACCCTCAATATGAACCATGAGTCTTGTAAACTCATGGTGCATCTTCAATTTTAACTCAGTCGTCGTTTCATGGTTTGTTTAAATGGAGCTAGTATATAATTTTGCTAATTTGAGATTCACACGAGCAAAACCTTGTTAAGTGGAAGGCTTAGGCCATAATTTATTTTTTTTAGAAAAAACCAAGAATTCAAGAGTCAAAAGAGAACTTACACCGTCTATGTGGCGCATCGATATCAGAAGGCTGTGAACCATCCTCACTAATAAATCATTTATGCAAGGCGCATGTGTTCAACAAAACTATACATCATAACGATATAAGGATGGAACTCACGACCTAATCCTGGTAAAATTAATAGAAATTAAATATGGGTAAAATTAATTGAAGTTAAATATGGGTGAATAGTAACTTGAATATTTTACAACAAATAATAATGTTTATAATACTTGAAATAAATTATATAAGTAATTATAACCATGAAAGTATAAATTATTATATTTTTATTCCATAAATAAAACTTAGTTTTTTTATGTAAGATAAATAAGCAAGCAAAACAAAAAGAAAAGCAAAAAAAAATATAAAACTTAGTTTTATCTCTTCATAAATTATTTAAAAATTTATTAACCATAAATATTAAAATTACGAAAAACAATTTGTAACAAAAACAGAATACCAAAATGTATAAGCTAATATTGTTCATGCTAATAGATTATGGCGTTCCAATCATCAATCAAATCATGTTCCCTTCAAATACAAAATAAGTATAAGAATCTACAAAAGCGGCCTTCCACCAGCTTGACGCAGGTGCTAAAATGAGTTAATCCTTCTCATCAATCAACTGAGCTAATTAAATATAGATATTTAATTTAAGTAATTATAATAATCGTTTTATTTTGAAAGCAAATCATACTAATGCACTTGTAGGGCAATAAAACAAGATCCTTACCTCGGAAACGACGGAACGTTGGTATTTTTGAAGGAAAGATTACATTGCTTCAGAGTATTAATGCCCAAATCTCGACTATCCTTCAAAGTATGAAGAAAGCTACAACTCATGGAAGAAAATTGAATTGGGATAGACAACCACCTAGTTGTGGGACGAATACACGGAAACCTCCCCCCAGGAACTGGTTTATGCTGAATGTAGACGGATCGTTCTCGCCTGAAATCCAACGTGGGGGTTGTGGGGTAGTAATCAGGGATTTTGAAGGCAAGTTTGAGAGTGGATTCACTCTCGGACCAGCAGGGAATGACAGCTTGACTACTGAGCTATGGGCCATTTTAATGGGGCTTAAGCATGCTTGGGATAATGCATTAAGGCAAATAATGATGGCATCAGACTCTCTGGAAGCAGTGACTTTGACAAAGGAAGGTGACATTATCTTTCGTCAAGATAGGATGCTTGTGGAAGAAATTCGAATGATGATGCAGCGTGAGTGGAATATCTTGTTAGTGCATGTTCGCAGGGAAGCAAATCGCGTTGCTGATTTTCTAGCTCGTAAAGCTCATAATTCTTGGCCTGGATTAACGTTTAGTAGTCCTCAGGAGTTTACTATTCTGTTGAACCAAGACTGTATTGGCATTAGCAGCTAGACAGCTGCCCTTTCATTATCCACCGGAAAAAAAAAAAAAAAACCAAGATCCTTACTAGCTTCCATAGTCAATCTATTAAACTATCCTTGCCCATCACATGTTAGCTTAATAAATGCTCACTTTAAAAAGATATTTCACCCCAATTAGAGGATTATTGGGATCATTTCTTTTTTCCTCAACTCTTCATAATAAATTGAAGCTACTCTATATAACAGTTGTGATATATCAAAACCAGTCAAAACTTAAAAAATTTAACCCAAAAAAAAATAAAATCAGCAAAGAAAATTTGTTCGCCCAATTTAAATGAGACTTCAAAATATATCCCATACTCCTCCCAATTCTACCATTTTCCAGTGCTAGCCCAAAATATTTATATCATGTAGAATCAGCACATAAAGCTTCATGACCATGATTAGCCAAGGCCAAGACGAGATCACTTAATCTTGTGCAATCCGATATTCAAATCAGATGATATGGAGATAAGAACTGGAATAGACTTGAGCCACACAGCTTTAAAAACTCGTTTCTGATGAGCACTGACTGAGTATGTCGGCTTGTGAGCATTATACCTAATATCAAAAATGTGAATCACTGGGTCTGCGGAACCAGATGTTATATACAGCCCATCAGGAGACCATGCCTGATTTACGAGAGCTGATTGAGATTCACTGCTTTCTTGCTTCCAACCAAAAGCATGCAGCTCTGCCGTTCTTGATCTGATATCAAATAAACGAAGCTGCTTCTCTGGAGTCCTGAGGGAAAACAGAAAAAGAAAACATGGTTAGTAACACTGCTTAAATTAGAATATAAAACTAAATGACCAGACAAAACCTTATGGACACTAGCGAATTAAACAATCATTCAAGACCAACATGAACTTGAAGAATTGGGCTATAAGATATTAGAATTTAGACATGTCAAATCTATTTAAAAAAAAAAAAAGCAATTCATTAACAAAGTAGACTCCAAAGGAAGTGGTGGAATAATGATTCTTACCCCGTTCGAACCATAAATAAATTGAAGTCACATGGATTTGGCAGGACACTCATGCATTTACTATCGATCAGACTTTTGAAATGCTCTCTTCCTGCATGAGTGTCAAACCCAAAAATTCTTTTGTCTGCACCAGCAGACAATACAATCTGCTTCTGCTGCATACCAGCGACACCCATGACAGCAGACGAATGGAGATTCTGGTGCAATGTTTTTGGCTTCCATATTTTCTCACTATCCTCACTCCAAAGAATAACAGCATGGTCAGATCCCCCGGTCACAAAACAGGTATCTTCCCAGGGCGTAAAAACAATGCCATTTATGACACCCTTAGAATGAGGCTTGTCCTCTAAGTAATTCACACATCCTCTCTGACCAACCAAAAAACACAAAAATATAATACAGATTTCAATCAGTTAACCTGATTCTGAAGCACAATTTTCAGGCCATCCTGCTTCTGTCAGTATTGAACGTTGATAATAAGCCTTACCCCTTGCTTTCTTTTCAGATTTATAACTGATATTTGAGATTCTCCAACATCAGCAGTGTAAACAGAATACAGGCTACTTCCATCGGGATGCCAAGCTATATCTTCTGGCCATCTCCTCTGTTTTAGGGATACACAATCAGTAGAGCTAAGCAAAGACACTCCTGATCTACAGTTTAAGGTGGAGAAAAAACACGAAACGTATGTAAGATTTTTAAAATATTTAGAAGTATTAAATCAAAAACTTATGAAAAGCTTCATCTGTTATGAAGAAAAAAACCTGTTGCTCAGAACTAATCAAGAGATCAAAACTCCCTATAATGCCACCAGAGACAATATGAAAAAAAGAGAGCTAAAGAAACTTTTGAAAAACCAGGTAACAAAGTCCGACTTCTACAAAATGTGTCCATAAAAACATTTTAATGACTGCAGAAAGAGAAAGAGTGTACTCTAAACTTTACAAATTTTATTAAACCACGAAATTAAAGACGAATGAATGGTAAGCCATACCCATTAGACTGAAAGCTCCACAACTTGACCACTCCATCCAAAGCACTGCAAGCATTCTCAAAAGTTGCAACGATCAGACACCATGTTGGGGGGAAAGAATGCCTTAAACTTTAGTTATATTTACATTAGACATAAGGATAAAAAGAGCGACCACACATCAATAAAACCCATACTTTCATATAAAGTTTGAAAGCAGAGAGCATTCACTGATTCCTATGTCGCATAAGTTTACCTAGATCTTGCTTCTAAATAGAGTTTAAAGTGATAGTAGTGACCCGTAAAGCATGACTTTTGCAGCCAAGAAGATGTTCTATCCTCATTGGAATAGAAGAATAAGGATTGAAAATGAACCAAGTTAAAATAACAAAACTTATGATGTGCTTCAGATTTATCCCTGACCACGATTAGTAAAGATACTCTGATGATCCATACACCATACTTCAAGTTGGCTTTCTCACTTGAAAACTAAAAGCCTAGTCAGAACCCATCCTACCAGTCAATAACAATAAACCTTAGAGCTCAAACTGGCTGCAACCAAACGTGGGGGTAGGGGAAATTTGAAAAGAAAATCAACTTGGAAATATTTGATATGAGTCAACTCTCAAGTTTCAATAAATTTCTGAAACATAATTGTCATGGAAGATTATAAATGAAATAATTTCATTACCTGGTTGCAAAAAGATGGTCATTCACAGGACACGAAGCAAGACTACGCAACTTTCTCTTGTGTTGACTTGGGATAAGGCTGCTTGATTTACAGCGTACTAAGCGTGGTGATGTACTACTGCCTATTAGAGGAATCAATTCATTGTGTTCTTTATGCTCTGAAAAGCAAAGAAATTTTTTGTGAAACTCAACATCAACCAACAACAATCTTGAAATGAAGAGTTAAAAATAACTAACATGAAGTCTAGGTAAAAGAACAAATAGGCTCAATATACAATATGCATCAAAGGTAACAAAAAAAAAATATCATAAATAAATTTTTTACCTAACTTCCTTTTTGTGCCTCTATACTTGATTTCATTGATTTCCTCATCAGTAGAAACTTCTTGAGATTTTTCCTCTTTTACTTTAGCACCAATAATTGCATGACTGGAGGATGATGGACTGGATTGAGAATCAGTACTTACTGAAGCTTTCTCCGAAGTCCTTTGCAATGGTATATTTTGGGAAGATGGTGGGATTACGTCAGGAATAAGAAGTTTTGGTTTAGAATTATGCTGGATTATTGAAGGACCTTCATTTCTATGAATGGGGCTGATTGATCTGCGCTCAATCTTCACAGTTTTTGTTGTATCATCTAAGCAACTTCCAGATGATACCCCATTAGCTTGCCCTCGAAGGCGAGCCAATTGAGATTCAGAGTCTTTCAGCCTTTTTTCCGCTTCCTCTAGCTGCATATCGTTCCCAAGAGTAGAATCAGCTGATAATTATCATAGCCAAGTCGGCCAAGTAGATTAAACCAGAAAAAAAAAATGTGCTTGCAATTACAAGCAACTAGATATACCACTTATTGGTGCTATGCATATGTATATGAGTTCCAACATACAATAAAACTTGAAGGACACCATACGCCAAAGTACCATTTGTGAGACACACTTCACCAGTGCAGTGTATTCTAGTTGAGCAAAACAACAGCTAATACTAAAGAAAATGCATACACTGTCGCATGCTAGTAAGAAGAAAGACACGGGAAAAAACCCTACAGGGTAGTTTATTCATCGACACAGGGCAAAAGGACAGTAAAAGCAACTGAGCTAATGCTGAAAAGGAGACCTTAGATGTGTAATAGGAAATGCGTTGACGGAGATGTTGGACTTCGCGGGTGCGGTGATTGATCAAAGCCACCAACACCTCCTCTTGATCTTCCATCCTGGCTTCAATTTGCTTGTCTTTGCAAAACTATTTGCGGTTATCAGATTTTACCCAAGAATCCCTGGAGGCGCGCGCTTATGGAGGCATTATGAATTTTCATTATTAGCGCACTAGCGCCATTTTCTTTTGGGTTAATTTTCAACTTTGTCAATTTATATGGATATATTTTTTTTTAAATCAAAATATAAATTTTAATTAAATTCTAAATGTTAGATTCAATTTCTTCCACCGTCTCTATTTGCTCTTGCGATGCCTTTGGTCTTCATTTCTAATTTTTGGAGGAATCATGTTGAGAAAATTGGTAAGAAGGACTTAATTAGAAGCAAAATTAGTCTTAGAAACTAAATGTATTTGAAGAACCAAGGCTAATATTTTATTTATTAAATAATTTGATCAAATGACTGAAATGCCCTTCTGTGTTAATTTTTTTCCCCCAAAAATGAACAAAATCTAGTCAATAAGTGAAGTGTCGTCGAAAAAAATCAACACCCTTGATTACATGTAATCATTAAGGATTACATAAAAACTCAACAATTAAAGGGTGCAAGAATTTTTATTTAGGGTGTAAGGGATTTGGTTTAGGTGCAAAGCTTCTGACTTGAGGTATAAGGGTTATAACTTTGATGCAAGGCTTCTAATTTAGGATGCAAGGCTTTTGACTTGGGCACAAAGGGTTTGGCTTAGGTATAAGGCTTCTAACTTAGGGTGAAAGGGTTATGGCTTGGATGCAAGGGGTTTAGCTTAGGTGCAAGGCTTCTAGCTTGGGTACAGGAGATCTGGCATAGGGTGCAAGTATTCTAGCTTAAGGTGCAAGGCTTTTGGCTCAAACAATTACATGTAATATCTTATGAATTGCATGTTATCAGATACACAAGAAGCATGCCCTTGTCAATCCCCCAGAATTACATGAAAATTATTATGAATTTCATGTAAATCAACGTGAGAAAAAATTTACGAGCATGCTTGAGGAATAATTTATATGTAATCTCTATCGAATTACGTATAAATCAAATAGACAAAAAGCATGCCTTTATCAATCCCCTAGAATTACATGAAAACGATTATAGATTACATGTGAATCAATGTGAAAAAAAACTTGCGACTATGAATAAGGAATGATTTTCACATAATCTCTAGTAAATTACATGTAAATTAAACACACAGAGAGTACGCCCCTGTCAATACCTCATAATTACATAAAATAACTATGGATTACATGTAAATCAATATATGAAAAATTTTTTGAGTATCACTAAGGAATGATTTACATGTAATAGTTAGTGGATTACATGCTAATCAAACACATAGAGAGCACACCACTGTTAGTGCCCCCTAAATTACATGAAAATAATTATGAATTGCATAAAAATGACTACACCAAAAGCTTTGTACTATCAACCAAATCCTTGCATCCAAGTCAAAATTCTTATACTCTAAGTCATAACACATGCACCTTATACTAGAAGCCTTGCACTCCAGCCATATCTCTTACACCCAAATCAAAACCTTTGCACCCTAAGTCAAAATCCTCTCATCCTTTAGTGCTAGAACCCCAAATTAAAGAATATATTATAGGAAGTAAGAACAACATCATGCCCATGTTAAACTGCATTTTATCTTATACAAAAAAATAAATAAGGGAACACTCACATTAAGTTCCCTTTGTTAAGTATTATACATTACATAATAAGCCGTATTAACACATAAATGATGTGGATTCAATAATGTAACATGGATGACAACTAAATTGTCTCTAAAAAACAAGTAAATGTGAAGAAGAAGAATGAATGACAATAATTTTAATGAAAAAATATTAATTCCATTAAGTTTGGTCTCTCTTTCTATCGAGTACAACAAAAAGATAAACAAAGATCATAGAACATCTTATATCAAAACATATACTATGGGGGATAAGAACAACATCATACACAAATTAAACTACATCTTACCCTATACAAAAAATAAATAAAGTGGATGATCATAAGTACACTTCAAAATACAATCAAATTTTTATTCAATCTTTTAAGAGGGTTCTTTGATCAGCATTTTCTTGTAGTTCACTCTAATTACTACTTACACGCAAGAGCTTCTTGACTCGAACTTATTTTTTTTATCTCTAGACTAAATCTTGTGCTTTTGTGTGTTTAAAATATTATGGTTGAAATGAAAATTAATAGCCATACAAGTGGGCAATTCAAGAATTAATTGATCACCACTTTATGGGGTGACATATGGAAAACCTTCTCTTCAAGGTCAAAAAATCAAATAGTTAAAAAAGAACAAAAATGAAATTGGTCTCAGTTGCATAGGTTTAGGGATTCTTTCAAACTACTGAAGTTAAAAGAATTAAAAAAACTTGTGCAGGAGTGATGAGATGAACTAAAACATTGTTCATGATCACATTTTATAAATTGTAGCATGCGTTAGCAGCATGCATTTTTCATTCAAAACAAGAAAGCAAACAACACAATAAAATTTATTGAAGCTTATTACAGTACCTGAGAATAGTTTTGGCAACTCAATATTAGATGAAAATTTTCAATAAATTTCAGCAATGTATACCATTATTAAATAGAAATGAAATTTTGACACCACTAGTAGTGCTTGAACAAGAAGGATCAACAAAAAATATCTACTTAGAATGAAGTCATGTTTTGAAGAAAAGCTTACCCAATTCAAGACTCAAAATCATAATTCATATCATATCTAAATTGGCAATTTCATTTGAATCCACAAATGAACTAAAAAGGAATGCAAAAATTAAGATGAATATTATATATATGACAAAACAACCAGAAAACCCACCTCATTGATTTTCAATGGTTCCTTCTCAAGAAGGCGAGCATCTGCTAGTATTATATCTCTAAGTTCAATGCTGATGATATCACCCAAAACCAAGATTGAGACATCTTGCTCATTCCACCTACCATCTTAAAGAACCTTAACAACATATAAATTGAAAATGAAAGTGCGAGGGAAATAATTTCATAGGGCAAAGAAAAGAAAAATAGAAAGGAAAAACTAGATTGCACCAATAATTAATCTAAATTAGAGTTGGAAACCATTAATATGAAATGAATTATATGTTAAATATGACACTTTTGCTTTTCGAGCAAGACGAGCCATGAGAGCAACTGCAACATTGCTTGTAGTTTTCCTCGATAAAACTAATTATTAAATTGATGAGAAGCACAATGATGATATCCATAAGCCTTGTTTGGTACAAGGGAATAGGTGCTGATAAAATGGAAATGAGTAAAGGAATGTTAATTTTAGATGTTTGGTGTATAGAAATGGACATTCCAATGGAATGACCCATTGCCTCAAGATAATGACATTCCTTTAAGGGACTGTAGGAATGGTTCTATTCCTTGAGAATGAACATTTTTTTTAACTAAGCTATCCTTACTTAGCATTTTTTAGACAAAATTACTCTTCAATTTTTGTGCTCTCTATTCCTCATGTTTGTTCCCTTGACTTCTCCCTCCACCTTCATCAATAGCAGCCACTACTTCTTGCCACCATCATCGACTTATCCCTCGACCTCTATCAATGGCCTACTCTGGTTTGAGTTTAACTCCATCAAAGTTTCATCCATTGTAAATTTGATTTTAGTTTGAGTTCAACTTCTCCTGCTCCACCTTCATTGACTTCTCCCTCCACCTTATCAATTCCTTCAATTTTCTAGCAAGGTTGATCGCCAACTAGATTTGAGAATGATTTTTCAATGCTATGAATAGGGATTTTGATTTTCTAATGCCTCTTTTAGATTTGGGATTAACGGTAAACTAGTTGTTCTTTGAATGAGGACTTCAATCTTTTTATGTTTTAGGGTTAACTATTCCAACACAAACAATTCATTATTGACACATATTAAAAGCATGTCTTGCCAAACATATTTTTCTATCAAACCATTTTCTATGTTGGCTTCATGAAATTTTTCTATGTTGGAATAATTTTTCCATAGTTATGGGCTTCGATTTGGGTTGAAATTTTCCTTCTATGTTCTTTTTAATCTTTAATGCCTTATGACCCTCATCATTAATATTGCCGACAATGAGAAAAAAAAAACTAATTAAACTCAGAAGATGATAGTATGGAGTTACATTGAAGAAGTAGACAACAACAATGTTTTTGAAGAGTCATGGAAGTAATGACATTTGCATAATGCTCTGTTGCTTAATCTATCACAGACCTTGTTCATCTTTTCTCCTTTTAAATTTTGCATATATGGATTTATTTAATGATTTATATTTTTTATTGAATTTTTTGAATGGAATACTTGTTCATAATATATAATAACATGTTTTGGATTTGAATACCTCATGAACTTTCAATTCCAGAAGCAATGGAGGAGATTGGGGATGAAGATGTGATAGGGATGGTGACTTGATTTGAGAATGACAGGGGCATTATTGTATTTTATTATAATCATTATATATGCAAAATAAAAATTATACTACCATTCTATTGTTATACCAAACATCTTTTTAAAAACGCTTTCCCACTCTTACTCCTATTCCCACTCTCATTCCTTTAAAATTTGTTATATGTACCAAACATGGCCATAAAGTATTGCTAATTATGGGGCTTTCTCTATATACAAAAGTTTAAGAAACAATTAAAATCCTCAAAAATAAAAGCATCAGAGGCTTGAAGAAGTACTTCTAAAAAGTTTAGCAACAAGAACTCTAATAGTTGAACAATAAACATACAAGCACAATTGCCATTATAGCAGCACCTTCCATAACATATGACAAAGGATTCCATATAAAACCCAAGAACTTTGGAAATTTGCTCTCTTAAAAGATAATTAAAAAAAAACCAACACCTTTTATTTTTTACCTAGCTTTGATTGAAAAATAGCACTGGGAGAATAAAAAGGTACGGGACATGAGGAGTTTTAAACCTTTTTCTCTTCAAGCTTGGAATGCTAAAAAATGGTAAGTTTCTCATCAGCTTTGCTTCTGAGGGAAGGAGATGGTTGAAAACCAAATGAAGAGGAAACAGAAGCAACATAACTAAAAGAAGAGAAA